TCCGTGGAAACGCCCGTAGGGGTGGCAGCGGGTGCGGCGGAGCTGACGCTTCCAGATGATGTAGGACCCGCGACAGGTGGTGTGAAGACAGATGTGGTGGCTACACGACCGGAAGAAGCGTCTCGGTACCAGTTGGTCTGAGGCTCGCCCAAGCACTCGCCCAGAGTAACCAGCTTGTATCCCTTTGCCTTCATGGTTTCGATCATGTAGCCAGTCAGGTTCTTGGCGGTCTGCTCGTGGATGTCGTGTGCGATGGCTTGGAAAGCGTCCGTCTGGGGGTTGCTTGGGTCGATGGCCTTCTTGACATTGTCCTTGGCATTCTGGATCTTGTCTGGGGTTACGTTGTTGTAGTCGTCGGTGTCGAGGTCGAAGTACGAGACGACGTATCCTAGATCAGCGAGGTCCTTTTGGCATCCTGAGGCTGCGGTGCAAGAGGAGTACGGGGGACGCATGTATGTGGGGAATTTGCCCATGATGTTGGCGAAGGCCATCTACAATTTGGTTAGTACTTCCTTGAATGGTTCAGATTATAATATCATACCTCGTTCCTGACCATCTGGTCGTATCGCTGTTGGCTGGTGATGGCGCTAAGATCTTGATGCGACCATGTGTGACTGGCAACTTGATGTCCCTCGGCGATCATGCGCTTGATGGTAGCAGCCCACGGCTTGCTTGTGTCGTCAATTGCGCCCTTGTTGATGTTGACACCGGTGACGAAGAAAGTGGCCTTTGCTCCTGCAGCTTTGAACTGATCCAACACACCCTCAGTGTAGATGTAAGGACCGTCATCGTATGTGATGGCAATCGTGTTTGGCTCAGTGCAGTCGTAGATGCCCTCTCCGCCGTATGGCTGGTTGCCGAGCTTGGGACGAGCAATGTTGCGAGTGCTGCCTCCAGTAGGGAGTTTGTTGGCATCACAGGCAGGGCCGTACTGGAACTGGCAGTCGGGTGCTTCACAGTAGTCACCTATGAAGATTAGCATTGTTCTCTCAAGTTGTACCCGAATACCTTACCTCCCTGACCACAGTAGCCCTCCACAGAGCAGCAGTAGCCCTCAGCGCAGCTCGCACCGCCGTTGTTCGGTCCGCACCGACCATCAATGCCACCTTGACGTGCTGTCAAACGTAGATTGGGCCCTGCAACGTGCGCAGCATGTCCACCAAGAATGTTCCTGCTCCTAAGTTGACCAATCTCTCGGGGTCCAAGACCAACAATCTTCGGTACAGGGAAGTCGCCGCCGCCGTGAGCAGCCACGAGGGGTGCGGCCAAAGCCGCAGCGTAAAGTCCAGTGTAGCGCATTATGATAACGTGACTATGAGTCTGTCAAAAATATAATCGAAGAATAAACGAGTGTAAGATCAAAAGATCGACCGATATTAAGTCCGAACAAAAGGTAAAGACGACACTGTAAAGACTGAACAGACGCCTTTTGACCTTTTCACAAAGTGAGCAAGGAAAAAAAGATGGACCAAGAGAAAGCAACAAAGGGATGTGGGTGCGAATTCCATATAAGAGGCGAACTAACTACCGTATGCCCAGACATTAGAAAAAGATGCCCACGACGCCCGTGAAGCGTGTAGTGTGCTTGGCTATGGGACGGGTCAGCCGCCGCGCGTGTCAGATTTGGTCGAGGCTGACACTGAGACTGCGATACAGGAGGTAGCCCGCTAGCGGAGAGTTAATAATGTAAGTCTTGACAGGGAGTGTGCTGTGTAGGAAGATGAGTAAGATGAGGTCTTTCATCGAGCCGGCGGGGGACATTCAATCGCATGCGGGCTCCCACGGCATCTGCCTTTCTCGGAATCCGGACATGATTCCAGCTCGCAACGCGCGTATAGCACAATGTCGCGAGGAAGCATGCAGGTGCTGTCTTCGCTTCGGAGGCTTTGTGGCGGTCATAAGCCAAGACATACCCCTGGGTCGTTGCCAAATCGGGCGTGTAGATCACGTTAGCGCCCGAGATTTCGCGTAGATAGATCCGTGGTCCTGGCCTTTGGGGACGGCCCAGATTCCGTCGCTCTACTCCAGACTCTTTAAATAACCCGGCGGGTTGCCTGACAAGAGACAGCTGGTACGTGGATGGCCTTGATCGCACGTGTAGCTCATTCTGAAGTATCTGGATGCAACGTGATTCTCCACCGAATTTCCTGAGCGAATTCAGATCGACGCCGTGATGCTGACATGTGCGGCCTCGGTGCGATAATTTTCTCTGGGCACATCTGCAGCGGTCAATACTTCGGCGCCGTTGTCTCGAAACACGGTGTTGGGTTCGGATGAACTGATGCAGAGTTCCCGCGGTTTACCCAGCACTACTGATCAGTCGCCACAGTTTTCCAAGGCGTCGGGCGCAAAGGCAAAAGAATAGGCGTGCAGCTTCAGGCGGGGGGCCAACGGTTCGTTTCCTGAAGTTTGTCGCGAACAAAACTTTGTCGTACTTGCCGTATTGCGCGGCGATAGAGGTGATTACCTAGCGATGTTGCGCAAGGTATCCACGGATAACTCTGATGTCATTACGCGATAACGAGATGATAGCCGAGAATGTCAGGTGCAGCTGAACCACACTCGCACTCTCATCTTGTGGAAATGATGTGACTTTCTTCCTTCGCTTCCGGACTATCGACAAACGCCATTCCTCTCGCTAGGCTTCGGGGCTGTCGTGACACTGTGTTCAGCAGCACGGACGTGGACACCAAGCAGCCTCGTGTGTTCACGTTACCTATGCCTTCCGCCACGTTTCGTACCCGCCAACATCGCGCGGAGAGCGCGTTTCTCTGCTTCTTCAATGATTGGTTGCTACAGCACGTCGTCTGATGGTTCTATCGGAGCTTGGGTTACTACAGACGCACTCCAGAACAAATTCCCAAGGACCACGTAATCTTGCTCAGGGTTAGGGTCTTGGTTGGACACGGTCTCGACAGACACGCAACGCCATCTTGAAGATGTAACCCAGTCTGATACCCAAGTTCGATATCAAGATACACCATGAACGTAAATCGGACGATACCCCGCGACAGACTACCCCGCGAAGACTCACTTTCCCCGGATCCGCAGCAGTCTCGTCATGTCGTTCGAGCGGCTCGTTCGGTATCGATGAACAATAGTGATCAGGACGCGCCAACATGCCAACGCACCAAGACCACGGCGCAGTCTTACATTCTTAACAACACATGATTTGAAAAATCGACGCCTGGAAGGAATACTTGGCAAGCCTATTGACATCGGCCTAATGCGATCACTTCTACGACGGAGCAATCTCGACTCTCAACGCTCCGCCAGCTGAGACCACGGGTGGCTATAATTCACATCACATTCTACCAAGCAATTCATCAAGGTTGAGCAGCCGCGCTGTTCTTTCGTAGCACTAGCGCAGCTTCCTAGTCCCGATTCTTAGCGGGTCCGCTGAGTACACAAGGAGTGTGACATGGAAGCATCAGACTTCGTGCCAGATAGGTTCAAGCATATAGTGGGGGGCGAGACCAGAAGTTGACAGGTATCCAAGACCCTGTTAAGCCAGTATCCCGAATTGTACATGTGCTAACCTGTCGCAATGAAGATGTGTTAGCGCGATATAGATACGTCCCTCTGATGAACAGCAGGCAACTATTCGTCTACAGCGCCAAAATTTATAGGAACGGCGCATGAATAGCAAGTGGAGACCTTGTTGGCGAACGACTGTGACTATGTATACAGCACTGGCAAGTCAACCCGCCGCGACAGAATGAATTGGCGCGGGATATACCGCAGGATGTCTCTTTGTACTACAGGAATCGGATTCAATGTAGTGGGGTCTGATTGTACCAGCGCCTTACGGTCCATATGTGGCGCGACAAGAGAGAGCGCAAAACCCCCTCCATCGACGATACAACACTGGCAAGGACCCCCGCCATTTCGTGATGCATCGGCGCGGTGCAGATCGAAGGAAGTCTCTTAACACTGCAGGCAACAAACTTCATAGGAAGGTGTCTCTGTACCAGCGTCGGGAAGTTTTTCAATGGCGCACCAGGATCAAACACGGGAACCCCGATTGGATGTCAGCAATACGAACCTGGATTTGCTACCAAGCTACTGTGAAGATGAGAGTGTTCATGTGATATCCTTCAAGAAATTGGTATGAAGCAGTTCCATTTGAGTATGAAGTCTTCGGTGCAAGCAATAAGCCGCGCCGGTTTAAGAGGGCGACAGCGTTACCTAGTAGATACCTGGGTAAGTGACTTAGTTTTCATCACCACATACACCATCGGGGGAACATGTAGAGATGTGAAGAACATGGTAAGACTAGAAGACCTCATATATGTACGTGGACGTGGTGGCTATCTTGCGAGTGCCCGCACGTGATAGCCCGTACTCCACCGCCACGTGCCGGGCTGCACCGCGATACCGGAGCTCTCTCACCTGCAACCTGCAACAGCATCAAGCAGCGCATACAAATACAATAGCTCTCGCACATCTCCTCCATCACTCCTTCAACCCACTACTTCCAACGTCTTCTTCTGCACCACCCGGGCATCATCTGCACAAGCTCTGACTAGTATTGCAAGACCGCTGCCCAAGCGAAATCACTTCAGCAACCTACAACACCAGACAATTCCTATCGCAAGCGGTGATGATCTCCCCAGACGCCGCCATACCCGGACATGGCGCGCAAGTCAGCGCGCCATCTCCAACACCGACAACAAGCTCACCACATTCCATTGATGACCACGCGCTTCCCATACCCAAGCATGAATTTTGGGGACAATATTTGTAAAGAGCTTCAAAGCTCTCTGCAGTACACGACAAAACAGGCCCTCCGCCTACGTGCGGCAGCGAGCGGCTTAGGCGATGGTCTCGCACACCCAGGCATGGCGCACCTACGGCATCTATTGATACCAGCCTCCCGTCGAACACTCCTGTTGAGCAGAGCATCGCGATTGAGCCCACAAAGCCTATCGCGCCTGCTCCTCTCGAAGTAGCGCAAGCGACAGCCCTTCCACCATCCGCAGCTTACCCCACACCCGAGAATGCGGACAGAGGAGACAAGAGGCATGAAGCAGAGGTAAGTTCTGGCGCAGTATTCGTAAACACATACTGACTTCGTAGATTCAACAGGACTTCGCGACAGACGAGGGAGGAACAGTGGCGGCAGAAATCGACATTGATGGGCGCATCAAACAAAATGTGGCAACGCCGGTGCGAAAACACTCAATCGATATCAAGTACCCAGTCGGAATGCAGGCATCCGACCCCCAGGACATGTTCTTTGCAAAATCTCATATCACTGGACAAAAGAACAGTCAGCGAAAGGATATGACAGGCTGGCAGGAGCGTATATGGCACTGAGACATGAACACATCTCCGTCCTTGTCGATCAAGACAGCAAGGAGAAGAACGCACGCCGCCAAGTAGTCGACTCGCGCCAATCCCTCACCAATGGAGCGCAGATGCTACTGTGGAATTCCGAAGCGGCGTTCGAAGCTTCGAAGGCGATCGCATGAAGGATTTGTCAACCATCGATCTGGACTGACCCGCAGACACAGACACAGTACACCGGGAAAGCACCAGGATCATTCACACCACAAGAAGCACAGCATATCCTCAATCTTTACAAGGACGACTGTATCAAAGACTTGAAAGGCGCCACACTGGCGGCTACCGGCGCGAACCTCGAAGAATTCGGCATCGACGAGACCATCGTTACGCAGGCGCACGATCTACCTGGAGATAGATCGTGGTTTGAGAAGATCAGTGACAACTGGAAGGACGCTGTCAGAGATGCACCGGTGGACAGCAGCATCGATCTCAGCATTATCGAGGAAACCCCACCCTGGCGCCAAGTGAGCTTCCCGCCGGCGCGTACGAAAGGCCGTATCACCCTGCCGACATCGCTCTTATCTTCCCGGCCTGCCGACGTATAAAAGCCACTTGTCAACGGCTCTGTCTTCCTTCTTACACACTCATCTTCTCAAAACGAGGATTTTCAAGAAAGAAGTACGCCTGATGATATGTGGTGCGGTTTCGAGACCTTGGTCTTGTATCAAAAGATCAAGAAACTGAAACCATGTGCGCTCGTCTGCCCTCACCCTGGGACATCCCCATATTATTTTCAAAAACGACGCATCGGATGTTATGTTCGACCCACTCATGGCGCGTGAGGACCCTTTCGATGCGGCGCAATCTGGCTTCCCGTTGACCGATCCGAAGCGCGAGTCTTTGACCGAACCGGCGCACGATCAGGTCATTTCAGCGCCGAAAGATGAGAAGAAAAAGAGAAAATTGGGTCCCGAAGTTGCCGAGACAGAGCTGAAGAAAAGGATCGAAAGGGCCGACACATGTTGGGTATTGGACGTCACAACTGACGATATCCAGCGCACAGTGAGTAATCCCTACCAGATAACACGAGCGTGTATACTGACCTTGATCTTTTAGCTAAGCTTCGCTACCGGCCGCTCCCATTTCACACAATACAACGTCATACATTCGTCGGATGCGAAAGCATTGGATGATGATCCCACCATCGCCGCCTGGATCTGTACAGCTGATCACGCATGCTAATTTCGTCCCCTGTATGGACATGGTTTCGCGACGTGCATCCTTTGCCTCAAAAAGACAAAAGAGCTGGCGACGGATTGCTTTATCCCAAAATCGAGCGTCGTCATGAACATGGCTATGAACAGTACGATCAAAGAGGAGGGCGATGTCTACAAGCAGGACAAGAACCAAGAGGGTGAGTGGACAGACAGCGCCAGATGTGGGTTGAATGTCGCCAAATATGTCAAGGACTTCATCGGCTTGACGTCAGCATGAATGCCAGGAGATATATGCATGCGCGGATACAAGAAGAAAGGATTTGCCGTGCGATGCCAAATAGAGATGAATATGCAATACCCAGGCCGCTACATCGACATTGTATCCAACAAGATTGTAGTTGTGAAGCCCTCCTGCTAACTACATGAACCTGTGTCATCGACAATGCCACTGCCATAAAGCACTTTGTTAAATACATCTAGCGCTGACATAGACAGGACTACTATTGTAAGACTAGCCTGCCAACTACGCAGGTGTTGAGGGGAAGGCCGCGTTACTCCGATCATAGCTGACGACCTCCTAGCTACCTTAGCAAGAAATCTCTAGTGACTAATAATGTAGTGAAGGTAGCAATACTACCTGGGTACCTCCTGATGTAACCAGCTTCTTCTATCCTTCGCACGGACTATGTCTAGCTCAAGACTAATGTCGTCGCTCTGAACCGAGCAGTATTTCTAGCAGCTAATAGCCACTCGACCATCACGCCTGTGGAGCCGATGAAGTCTGGTGCACTGAACCCTCGCCTACGCAAAGCGTGTATCGATGTCGGCTTGCCGCAACGCGATACAATGTATCGCTTTCGTCGAACGCGTATCATCGAAACCAAACATGAACACGGAGAGGCGGCGGCGCGGACAATTGCAGCACATGCCAACGACTCCTACGCCCATGGATACTACGATACGGTTGGCGTCGGCGACATCGATATCCAGTCCTACATATCAGGCAGAGAGAGTTGGAGTCAAGGCTCTGCGCTTGAAAAGCATCCAGATATACTGACTTCAGATTTGCAGATGAGCCGGCAAGACGCAAGGAAGATGTTTGAGCAGGCAGCTCAGACAGGATACGTACATCATGATAACTAAGAGATCACGCTTGCCGCTGAGGTCGAAGAGCGATTGCGGGAACGCGAGCGAGAAGACCCCGAGTTGGTCGAGATAGTCCAACCCATCAAAGAAACGATCGACGACACGCGCGAGTTTCTGATCCGGAACAGCGCCAATAATACACCCATACCGCGAGGATATACCGGCAAGATCACTGGCGCTTACAAGCTCATGTCGAGGGATGGAAACTCTGCAGCTGGGGTTGTTCATAAGGAGCTTGAGGCTGTCTCCTACAAGCGAAACAAGGTACTGAAGAAGATCCGCAGGAGTATACGGAACACTATACTGGAAGAGCCTGCCCAAGAGATGCGATCTTTGCCGAACATCTCCACCAAGTCAACAACTACAGGAGTGACCGCCGGTAAAGATGGCGCACGAAAATCGATCCGCAAACAGGCCAAAGATGCCCAGACCGAGCTCAAGGGTCTCCACTGTGAGCGCACGAGCGCTCTCGAGGCCTTGAAGCGGCGCAACGAACAGAATGAGATAACGGAGCTGGGTGTTGATCAGGAAGAGGATCTAGACGTGAATTCGCTCGAGGAAAATGACGGCAAGCAACACCCACGGGGTGAGCCGTTGCATTGGCAGGATTTACTAAAGGAGGACATGAAAGTGAACATTCCTGATGGGGTTGAGGTATGAGATGCGGCTACAAAAGAAGAACGCGTAGCTTTTTTTAGGGCATTCGTCGCACATACAAGTCAGGCCACCTCTGGGTTCAAGTGTTGGCTCTGCTGGGTCGATCGAACCATGTCGCAGGCCGCGAAAGACAAGGAATGGGACCGTTCGCAACTCGAGAGACATATGAAGGGAAAGGTAGAGACGTGCCACGAAGAGCTTATACGGGCGTTCAACGAGTTGAAGATTGCCGGATGCACAGAGAGCAAGACATATTCCTTATGCTGAGACTGGTCGTTCAAGACCGCAGCTAAATGGCTGGTTCACCTTGAGCGTCATCACCGAGAGGAGCTTTGGTTGAAGGAGGAGGGTGAGGAGGAGGTAGAGAACGAAGGCGATAAGGACACTGATTTTGGGAACTTGTGAGAGTGCTCTAGTAGTTGGTAGTGTGTGGAAGACACCATGTGGTGTCTGCGAACGCGACGGCCTTACTGCTCAGTCATATCATCAGAACGAGCGCAGTGCATTTACGATTTCGTTTATCATCTTCTCCCACCTGCTGCTGTCTTCGCTCTCTTCATCCACACTGACACACTTGGCATATTTCTGCGTTGAAGCACTACATTCTGCATAGCCAACACTTCGTGCTGATCTGTAATTTCTTTCCATGCCCTGCCTGGTTGTTGCTACACTTTGCGCTGAAATCATTCAGCTGAGCGCTTTGGTATACTTGCACAGTCATATATCTCTTAACATATCCATCTGGTCCATCTGTAGATGCTTTGTGTATTCAAGGTCTGCAAGGCATAGCGCTGGAACAAAACAGCATGGCGCAGCTACGTAGAAAAATGGATTGATGTTGTATTACTGCATCACTGTTCTGCTTGTTCTGGAGGCAGTGAAAAACATACAATCTACTTCGAAGCTAGGCCAAGTCGTACTTTGCGTCATTGGCCTCTCGGGCTTGCTTGTGTCCGTTCTTCATATACTCTCGCGCAAATCTTTTCCGCGCTGGAATCATTAAGCATAGCGCGCTTCCTATGTGATGAAGATGGCGCGTAGAGACGTGTCTTCTAGTCGGTCTTTTTACAACCGCGTAGTTTACATTCTCCGTGCGAAAGTAGAACAATGCGGCGCGTATGCTAATTCGAAGCAAGATCGCATGCCTGAGCATGGTTATACGTCCTGGAATATGTCTGGTAAGACGTAGGCAACAGATTTCCTTCTCGCTAAAACGTAGCGGTATAGCGCGCTGATTAATATAAAGAAACCTAGCACGGCCTCTTCTTCGCCTTTCTTTATCATGACTAGGCGCCGTGCTGGTTCTCTGAGTTCCGGCGCTGTTACTATACTGCAAAACACTTACTTGCTTTTTATACACTACCGTACCTTTACCCTCCTGCTGTCAAACATATTCTAGTATTAGAACGAGTTGCTAAATGTGACTTGAACTGCAGTCTTTCCAGCGCCGGTTAACGCTATAAGTTGGCTACAGGCGTGAGCTCAACTTGCATTGCACGACTGTCTTCTCGGGTCTCTTGAGTGCGGCTTACTTCTATGCTATCACAGACATGCAAGCCTAGCGGAGAGACTGCTGCAGTGAACTTTTGAGCTGCTTAAGAGTCTTCGAGCGCATAGCCTAACACTTCTTGGCAAAGATGTTTAAGGTGGTCTTCCACTTTACATTGTTTTCTGCTACCACGCATCTAGCACCAATATTCAAAGTCTTCAACGCTGCTTACATTCCGCAGAAAACATCTTCATACCACTTTTACACTCTCCTGGATTACACTGCCTAGAATCGCTTTGCCTTTACCTGGATAGAATTCCGTATAACCTGCCGTAGAGGTGTTCGCGGTATCTATCCTCGAGAAATCCGCACGATAGAAGACGATGTACACTTCAACACTCGTAGTACCATTCAACCCGTAAAAGTCTTACTAATATGCGTACTTTAACTCCGAACATGCCACTTAGTTTGTACAGGAGGCACGAGCTTGTATACGCCTGCATCCGCAATCCCATCACGGCCAAAAGCAACAAGGTTATTGTAGTCGTTAGATACAACTTCGTACGATCTTTTTGCTACTAGTCGAGAGCTATATCAGTCTTGAACATCTTTTCGATGCTATACGCTTGCTCAGATGTTCCATAGTTGTCGCAACATCTTATCCATCCTTCAAGACCCTGTCTCGATCTATCAAAGAGCCTTGCAGACTTCTGCGTTATCCAAAGGCACGAGGTAAAGTTCTTTCATGAAGAAGTCGCAATGTCTACCTCGTTGGAAGTGGACCGAGCGACTGACAAATCCTGGGCGCACAGGCAGAACGAATATGTAGACTTCTATCTTATCAACAGATACGTAACGGGGCTTTCCTTGAGTCGGAATGGAGGGGCAATTGCCTTGAAAGTGGGTCTTGTTCGTGAATACCCCTTCGCGATGTCTGACACTATTCCACAATCTTACTAGACCACTCAACTCGACATCACAGATCTTCCAGCCTGCTGTATCCCCTGAATGCCTCAGATCATTTACGAACCAATTTCCAATTTCTCCATCAACAAGCAGCTCTTCGAGTTGCGTCAACAGCCGCAAGTGCAAAATCGGGCGATTGGTTTAGTGGTATAATACTCCCTTAGCATGGGAGTGGTCCAGGGTTCGATTCCCTGATCGTCCATCCTTTTGCTCTTGTCGCTGCATGAGCAACTTTTTTTGTTCTCGTTGTGGTGCTGATGTGGGTGGTGGAGAGATGGGAGGTTTTTTTCGGTCTTGGGCAGAAGTGGGGACGTCACGACACCACCCAATTTTTTGCGCGGGTCTAGAACATCGAAATATCTTTCCGAGATCTCAGGGTCTACCTTAGGAACATGAAGATGATTTTGCGAATGCTGCTTGACGCACTGTTGCGTGCGCGAGTCTATTCAATGCGTACACTGATGGTCTCGGAGGCCAGCACGAGAACACCTCCAAACACAGCACATTCCGATCACTCCTTTGTATTTGCTGTCGGCGTAGAATATTCATCTCTCTGACCACCTGTTCGTGCCTCGGCATCAATATTACATGCAGCCACGTGTGCGATCGTTCGGTTACTCAATCTTTCCACGCCAGGTTAGCTGCATATGCATCCCGAGATCTGCACGAGGCCTGTCAAGCGATGCTTCCCCTTCCAATGACGTCGAAGCCGACTTAGGTACCATGAACAGCAGTTCCAATCACGCGCGTATCTGCAGTGTGCGTGAAATCAAAGCCCTATTGTTCCGGACCCCTACAGAAACACAAACCACTGCGACGCCGTCCCTGATTTTGCGCAAACACCAGACCCACCTTGAAGGCAAGAATGAACGGTGAAGCTAGACCGTATTTCGCTTAGACTAGCGGCAAGCACAACCCAGCCCGAACAGATATTTTCAGCAGTCGACTTTGTGCCCCTCGCTCTCTCTCTCCAACGATCCAACCCCTCAGCTTCCGATAATCAAACAATTGGTGGTGTGCGACTTTTGAACGACTATTTCAATACCTTTTTAGAAGACAATCATCTTCTAACGTCACTCCCTTACCCTTTCGATACTTCGGTAAGAACAAAGCCCGACATCACGGCATGGCGCGTGCGGACTACAGCTAACACTCACCAGTCTTCCAACTCTACAAAATGGATTACCAAGCACCTGCTCCCGCTGCCGGTGGCCGTGGCTGCTACAACTGTAAGTTGACTCTATACCCACGATGCGGTGACACGGTCCGAATGCGGCCCCGCTTTGAATATCAGATCGCGAGAGCGTCACGCCTCAGGGTCCAGCGACAGGTCCAGATCGGTATTCAAGCGCGGAGACGACCATTCCTGACTCAGAACTGCGTCTCTGAACACGCGCTGACCATGTCCAGGCGGAGACTCCTCTCACCGCGCTGCCGAGTGCCCCACCAAGGGTACCCCAACCTGCTACAACTGCGGCGAGAAGGGCCACGTGAGCCGCGAGTGCACTTCTCCCCAGGCTGAGAAGACCTGCTACCGCTGCGGTGGCACCGGCCACATCTCGCGCGAGTGCACCAAGGACGGCGGTGCCCAGATGGGTGGCCGTGGCGCCCCCAGCCAAGAGTGCTACAAGTGCGGCCAGGTCGGTCACATTGCCCGCAACTGCTCCCAGGGCGGTGGCTACGGCGGTGCTGCTGGCGGCTACGGCGGTGGTCGTGGAGGCTACGGCGGTGGTGCCGGTGGCTACGGAGGTGCTCGCCAAACCACGTGTTATTCGTGCGGTGGTTTCGGTCACATGAGCCGTGACTGCACCCAGGGACAGAAGTGCTACAACTGTAAGTACACAGCGATGAACTTGGAAGATCATGACTAACCTTTTTAAGGCGGCGAGGTTGGCCATCTGTCGCGCGACTGCCCCCAGGAGACTTCATCTGAGCGCGTGTGCTACCGCTGCAAGCAGCCCGGCCACGTCCAGAGCGCCTGCCCCCAGTAGGGTGTTCCAGATGCCGTCGATGTTTTGATCTGGAACCCGTTTCGAACTTCCAAGTCGCTCTGATAGCATGAGCGACGTTGGAGATTGCGCCCACGATGTGACGAATCATCGACATGCTTACGATTTCTTTTCTTGTATATTTTCATTCAGCGGCTCGCTGCCGTTTTTCGACGCTTCACGAAAAGCACATCGTCGCCCGGGCATGATTGGACGGCCTTTTCCTGTTTTGGCTGTACGTCAAGAGAGTTGGTTATGGGAAAAAGTCTTGATCCAGGAAGAGCGTTTGGTGGGAGATACAATGTGGGTGGATGGGAGAGCGGATGCTTGATGCGAGCAATGAATGAAGCAGTGCGTGGTCTGCACGACGACTGTGGCTGTAGGAGAGCGAGGTGTTCTCTCGTTTTGGCGGATGACTGGTGTCTGGGATGCGAATTAGCAACTGAGAGCCGGCTGAGGTTGAATGAAGAAACCGGAAAAGTCCCCACGATTGGGTGGGCTCCTCAACTTATACTGCGCCGTTTTCATGCACCGTGATGGATGTGCGCTAAACTAGTTTGTCACGGTGGGTGGGATGCTGCCATGCATGTACTCTTGGGTGGCTCCGTGATGTCACTTGGCGAAGTCTGTACCCAAATTTATGTGCTGAAGTCACCTGGATACGTGAAAAAGATTGCATCAGACTAAGAATTGAATGTAGACGCTGTATTACATCTCGTGATGGCCTGTGTGATGGCAATGGGCGGGTTGGAGTTGGAGGGGAAGGCGCCAAGACCCTGTGCCTTCCCGCCGTTAACGGTTAGTTTACATCCCGCCTAAACCCAAACAACTTATCGACAGCGCCCTCGCGATCCAACCGCGACACCACCGACGCGTCACCCGCACCAACACGCGCATTCATTCCTTGCGGACACGACTCTGGAGATGGCGCCCACAAAGAAACGCGAAGCGCGCGAAAACAATTACTACAACGTTGGCGTGCAGGGAAGGTAGGCAGAGAGACGCTCCAATGCATGCGCGTAAACAATAACTAACATTGCGCAGGAAGACTGGCATCACACTCGCAGACAAAGGCGTGTATGACGAACATGGCCTCGAACCGATTTCCGGCATCTTCTCGTCGCCAGAGAGGTCCCCACCCAAACAAGGGAATGATGCGACAGGATCAGGCTCGATGGAAATACAAGAGAGTGCGCAGATGTCGACGCAATCGCGCGGGATGTCACTAACAGGCCCGACAGGTTCAATGCCAGAACTCACCACATCACACCAGATCTTGCGCAACAACCGAACGCTCCTCCCTCCACCCCGATCGCGATCGCCCAAGAAGACCAACCTCGGATCCTCGCCGCGACGCCAATCCTCCATGGCGCCGAGGGGAAGCTCTCCGCCCCCATCCAGCCCCATCCGCGACTCCGCACAGCCGATTGCGCGACGCCTCGACTTCGAACAGGACGAATCAAGCCTACAAGAGACGCCAGCGCTGAGCGGCTCAGGCGCGCGACGAGGAAAGCGATCAGACGTGTACGATATACCGGAAGAAGAATCGCCGGGCCCGGCAGAGAGTGCGATATTTGAAGAGAGCATTGTGCAGGAAGAAATTACAGCCAATGAATTGGGAATAACCGCTGAGGAGAGTTTCGTTGCGCAAATCGGAGGCGACGAGAGCATGGCCGATGACCAGGTTGTTGAGGACCTTGAGGAGCTGGATCGTGAGGAGGAGTCTGAAATTGTTCCGGAACCACCAAAAGAGAAGGCCAAGAGGGGTAGGAAACGAAAGAGCGATGTTGTGGAGGTTTCAGAAGGGGAGCAGGAACCAGCAGAGAAGCCGCGCAAACGGGGCCGCCCTACCGCAGCGCAAGCCGCAGAGTCGCAGAAGGGCAAGAAGACTGCGCCTGCTGAGCGCCGACGCTCACAACGTGTATCCGACGTCAGCGAACTGGACGCGCCCATGGATGACTCGATAGATCAATCCGAGCAGGTTGAGGAAGCACCCGTTGCGCCGAAACGGCGAGGACGGCCACCCAAGGTACAACCGGTTAGCGAGCAAGAGAACAGCATCGTCGAAGCGCCAGTCGACGACTCAGTAGATCAATCGGAACACGTCGAGGAAGCGCCTGCACCGAAGAAGCGCGGCCGACCGGCGAAAGCGCAACCAAATGGCGAACAAGACGACAGTATTGTTGAAGCGCCGGCCGACGACTCAGTAGATCAGTCGGAACAAGTCGAGGAAGCGCCTGCACAAAAGAAGCGCGGACGGCCAGCTAAAGCGCAGCCAAATGGCGACAAAGCAACATCTTCAGCATCTGCATCGGCATCAGCATCAGCCAAGCCAGCGAAGAAGCCCAATGCAGAATTCACAAAGCCCGCGAAACCTGTGGGCAGACCCAAAGCAAATGCAGAGTCCAAAGCGAAATCGGCAAGTGCAGAGCCAAGGTCCAATGGAGTATCGAAATCCAAGACTCCACAGGCGGAGAGCGAGGAGGCCGGCAAGCTGGTAGATGCGTACGGAAACCCTCTCAGCAGAAAGGATATCGACCAAATATCTGCGACATCAGCCGGCTCACGCTTTGGACGGGGACGACATCTTTCCGTATTCCGCGAGATGGATCCCGATAATGTCGCTCGCATAGGACGAACAGGCAGACATCGTGTTGCGCCCATCGACTTCTGGAAGAACGACCACATCTCCTACGATCCCGACGGCAGCATGTCGTCGATTGTAAAGAGTCAAGCAGTAGAGGAAGAGAGGAGGAGGTCCACCAAGAAGTCCAGCTATAAGAGCAAAAAGAGGGCGCTCACTGTTGTCGAAGAAGAGGAAATCGAGCTCGACCCCTGGGAAGAGCAAGGCACTCTTGTTGGCAACTTTAGAGGTTTCGACACTGTTGGTGATGTTCCCTCCAACGATATCATCGAGGACAGTAAGTGGCCTCAAACCTCAAGAACGATCAAATGTCACTAACCATATCACAGCCATCGCATGGAACGAAAGGGGTGTCGAGCCCGTAGCCGTCGGAGATGGCGGCTTCAAATACGCAAAGATTGGATCCATCGGCAACTTCTTCAACTGGGGTCTCATCGAACTCGGTCCGGATCAGATGAAGCGCACGAAGAACTCTCGGTACATGCACATGATCTTCAACGTACAGTCTGGTACTGTGGAGGTACGCGTGCATGAGAACGAGTTCACAGTCCACAAGCAAGGTGTTTGGCAAGTCCCTCGAGGTACGTTCTTTCTCATCATTATTCTCTGTCACTTCAGCACATTCCCGAAGATGCACGGCAGCATGAAAAGACCTGTCGCCGTGCTCCTTCACTTCCTTCCATGCATGCACTCGCTACAACAAACCCCCCATCCGCCTTCCCTTACTTTCCCCCGTCTCTGTACGACAGCCGTTGCATTATGCTCGACGCCATCCGGGTGTTTGCATATCCCCATCTCACACCACACTTGCATGCCCGCGTTGTACGTTCCTGCTCTGCAACATGGCACGACAATTGGGGGGGACCAGGGGCGCGTCCGACAAGCAACCAGGGCAAGCGAGCATACTGGCGAAGCGAACCCGATTCTCGTCACCCGCATGGGCGTGGCGCTGACTGCAACATGCTGTGTTACCATTGACGCTAAAGCCTCGCCCAACCGACGGTGCACAGCATTGTCGTTCGCTTGCTCTTGTGGCGGTTACCAAACTTGCTCTAAGCCATCAGGCAAAGAGAGAGAGAAGAGCGCGGTTACGGCGCGCCACAAACACAGAGAGAGCACAACAAACCCGCCTCTCCGATCCGCTTGCGCTCTCCAACCCCAGTCTTTTCTTTTCGTTTCGCAAATTCCCCCGCCCTCGAGGCTGTCAGCCAACCATTTCTTTGCGTGGCGCTCACTTTGCCGCTGTTTCCTTGCTCACACCCCTTTCTCGCGCTCTCATTGGTCCAGAAGCACACGCGGCTAACGAGTGCTCAATCACACACAGGCAATACTTATAGTATCAAGAACATCGGCAGCGGGACGGCTCGTGTGTTCTTCGCTCAGGCCAGGGAACTGCATGTCGAAGAGGCGGAATGATGATGATGGATGGTGTCGAGTTACATGTTGCCTTTGACGACAGACAGACAGGCAGGAAATCATCTTTGCATACACATGTTTGAATTCAGTAGCGGTGTAGACATTGGAGATGCCCCGTGTAGCGGTCAACGTTCGTATGTGTGCAGCATCATGGGTTTCACGAAGCTTCTTTTTTGGCTCTCACAAATGCGAAAAAGGACACCTTGATGGTCTGTCGGTTCTTCTGTGTCCTTCTGTTGTTTTCCCTGCATTGTTCGCGCGCTTGTCGACGTGTTCGCGCTGAGGTGGAGATGGTGTGGGTGGGGCGCATGCTGCAGCATGTTTTGGCCCGGCGATACTTGAGAAAGGCTAAGCGCCGGGGTTTCTTTCTCGCTTTTAGTGAGGGTTTGGGAAGCGGGTGAAGCGCGGTTGCCTCTCTCTCTACTATGGACACGATAGTCTTGTAGAATATCGTGGCTCGATTGGGATAGGCTAAGCTAGAGGAATAGGGAATAGATAGGAGTACGCGTCGAGATATAGTCAGGGATGTGGATGATGACATATGTCGATTTGTCCTTACAAACTATGCTTCCAGCGGATCTGATTATGCGTGTTCGCTCGATTCGGAATTATTTGCTTCCGCGGAAGGAGTCCGGGGACTGTTTACTGTGGCTTCCCGTACGGCCAATCTATCGTTCCAGATGAGAGAAGAGAACGCAGGTTCACCGCTCATCTGCCGGGTTCTCTTGCTTTGTTTTTGGTGGTTTGCTAGGGGAGGGTAAGGGGATTGCATGCATTCTGGATTCGATCTGCTCCTACTGCGAGTTGCCGTTGAGCGGGTGGGTAGGTATGATTGGAGAGACCAGTAGGGCAAGATGTCGGATGATGGATAGATGCGAAGGCAGTGACGGGCTGCATGCCGTCACTACAGAAGATCTTGGAGACACAGATCCTTAGCTGTCATGACCTCAGTTCATGATACAAGAGCGTAACAACTGCGTGTCGTATAGCCGTTTTGAAGTGTGAATTGTCTTACTCCAATGCCACCAGTCTCGTTTACCAAGGAGTTAAAGACACTACAGTCAAGTCGGGTTACGTGACACTCCAACATCTCTCTATCTATCCACATCAACACATCCCTTCCAGCCAACTCCGCTATCCCAGCCTCGTTTTCAGACAGTCGTGTCACCACAGAAGCTCCCGGTACACCCACCGGGTGTACGCCGTATATCTTGCATCTACTCCTACATCTGCTTCTGCATCAGCGTCTGTATGCTTCCTCTTGTACTACACTGTTCTGCGGCTTTTCTACCGAAGTCATGCTATCCAATCGACTGGTTGTTACACAAGAATGAGTGGCTGTGGTCTTTCCCCGACGTGTATGTTACCATGCATACATGTGGGTTTTGTCGTATTTCATATCACTTCTGATGAGAAGTGGCTAGATCTGCGGCTTCGTGTTGAGGTACATATCGATCGCTGCATGTGAACTTTTTGGGAGGGGGGAGAGAGACACGGAGTGGATTTTTAGCCAAGGTAGTCTGGAGATACATCATGATGAAGTCTTATCCAACGTCACACATCCTATCCAGTCTCGCATCGCGAAGCTGAACAGTAAGCCCGTGACACAATGTCTCGTTGCCAACCCTGCCATCACAGCAATTCCCAGATCTCCACAGTCACACATAGAATCCCATCGAAGCACATATCCGCCCCAGCTAAACTTACCAACAAGAGCATATCGAAGCGGTGTACCAGCCATGTGTTGTACGCCCTCCACCCTGCCTATCTCCATCTCACTGTCCATCCATCCCGATCTAGACAACAAGTGTAGTCCTTATGCCCGTCTCGGTACTTCTATCATGCTAGCCGAAGCGGACTGGGAGTAGGGGAGACATACAATCTGAACTACCCATGACGGTTTCGCTTGTTACAGTACCACTACCAGTACCACTAACCACTGCCGCCACCTGCAGGTACTACTCTCCCTTCTACTGTACACAGCCTCTCCATGGCGATCGATATCAAGATGAAGCGGTGAGAAAGCGGTGAAAAACTTCCAATTGCAATCTGGCATCTGCATGTCCAAAATAAGATTTCGCAGCGGCCGACGACATGTGTAGCCATCGCCACAATCCGGTGTACGGAAACTTTCTCTCTTGAACACTTACCCAACAAACAGTTCTCGCCCAGCAGCGACGTTGGTAGTCGGCAGGTCGAGTGGTTTGTAGCGGTGTGGAGCGGTGTAGACCACAGACCCTGCGCCACCATCCCGAGGTCCCATCCACATCCACAGATCGAACTAGTCGTCAACCACAACGACTTTGTGACGTCCGGTGAAGATGGATACACACACCACGGGTGTGGTACCTTGCACTACGCCATCTCGCTAACAGTAGAGAGTATTTGCGTTCTGTTTCCTTCCCGGCGGAGAGGAAATATCTCGGCCGGTAACGAAAGAAACCATGGAGTTTCATGGGATCTAGACGGTGGAGGAGGAATGCAAGGGCAACGATGTTAGATGTTAGTAAAAGATGCAGGCCTAGCTCGCCGTTACCTCGCCTCGAACCAGCAACGTTGACAGAGATTGAAGGTGTGGAAGAAATGTCCGTGACACCGCTCCTTTGCGCAATTCGCATTCAGCTGCAACACCTTGGCCAGACCAGCCCGAGGCCTCCATGGCATCTGTGTCGTGTTTGGCAGTTTGGCAGTATGGGTTGTAAGCTGTCCTGCCATCTCTTTCCATCATCATCACCCCACCAACTACCTCATCATACTCCATCAACCCCACTAAGCTTTGGTCTCGTCGAAATGTTAACCTCGCGACACCACGTTTCAAAACAATCTCCAAACGCGCAACCGACAACCAATCGGCATACCTAAAACAATCACAATCACATGATATTGTGTTCAGCCTCACATGCGCCTCGTCCGCTGTCGTGCCATAGGCCAGTCACACACAGATCCAGCTGTCACTTGTCGCAGAAGTTCGGAGTGCCTTAATTCCCAGGACTCTGTTAATTAAGCGGGGTAGGTATGGGCACAACCCAAAACAGCTGCACCAGAATCTTAAGGCATCCCATTATCCTGCCAATCTGGAATCTACTCCAGATTTGATGAGTGGGTGAATGATGCGCTGATTCCTGGTCGTCTCATCATGTTTCCTCAGTGCTGCTCGTGACGAGGGATTAACCTAGCGCAAGTCGCGAATTCTCTCACAAGAACGGTGTGGGACCGGCGAAAATCGACGCCAAAATACCAAACTCGTGCGGTCCGCGGTCGGCTTTGAATGCCGGAGCGAATTGCGCGATGGAGGACTGCCCGAGGTCGAAAGGACCAAGGTTTACTGTGACCTTAGTAAACCAGCAGACAGGTCGCGCGAAAGATGCAAAACATGAATCGTGTAGTCAGCTCGCCTGTCGCGTGCTTTGTCAAAAAAGCAAAGAAAATATCGGTCTTGTTTAGTCTTGGTGCGCTGGTCTCGGGTCCTTTAGCGGGCTACGGTTCATTCATTTTCCCCTTTGGGGGGATGGAGGGGCGGGCGAGCATCTCTGGGTGAACAGGGCGTGAACTATTCGATCGGCGCCACTAATCTCGCATTCGTCTGTCCTTTCCCTTTAGCTGACTCGAGAAATCGCACCGAAATTCTGCGGTGTGCGGAGTGTCACGTCGTCCCACTTGGGCGCTATGTCTCAGGTTTGCGATCGTCAAGAAATCGCGATTTCGCCGCGGTGATAATTTCCATTGTCATTGCGGAAGAGGGAATGCGGTTGCGGGATACGCCGTGGGAAAGCCGTTGGGCATGTGTCGGATGCCGATGTGTGGGTTTCGGATGCTGAACCAAACTATAGATCTACTACTGCATGTACAATACTATAGTGCAATACTTGCTTGTTGGGTTGTATGGATTGGCGAGTGTTTGCACGTTTATTTGCATTGGGCTGCTTCTTTGACGCAGGAGGCGACGAGCGCTGGTCGCTGGTGGCTTGCTGTATGAGCTGATGTGAGCCGATTTTCTTTTTACTTTTGGCCAAAGCCCCATGCAGCTTTGCGCGAACAGACGACGCCTGTCTCAGCAGCCCGAGGTCTGTTCAGCTGCCTCGTCGAGGGATGATGACATTGAGCGAAAGGTTCCGATCCCCAAAATAACGACATGACCACATCGTAATGTCAATGTGCGCATGGCGGGCGACGGAGAAGGCTCCGATCGGCCTAATCTCATCTGTTCGCGCGCTGCTCGCAAGCTCCAAGCCAAAGGCCGAAATTAGATGGCACGTGGGAAGGGATGATGCAAAGAACATTCTTGAGACGTTCGATTTGGTCTTCCCGCCCGCACGGCTTAGCCTGCTTCAGAACCAGCCCCCATGTCGCATGACATGGAACGCGGAGCCAGTTCGCCGCCAAACGCGTGGGCAGCAAGAAGTAAGGGACAGCGCCCTCGACACTGTTTCCATGGAACAGCCCTGATGCAAGCGGCGGACGTGCCTGGCCCACACACATGTCACGGAACGGTTTTTTCTCTCGCTCCTGCGAGTGACCCATTCAATTGCCATGCTCGCCCTTGTCAGTTGTTTCGGCCTAAGGCAGCGATCCCGGACGATCAGAGAACCAGCATGCAGGAGGGTTGTAATCCTGCGACAACGATATGTGAACCAACATGTCATAATTGTCGTACGATGTGGCAAAGCCGATGAGAAGGTTCGCGCGGGTAAGGCGACGCCAGGCACTCCTAGCCGCACACTCCTGGTGTGCACTGAACGCAGAAAGGGATGGGTGGTGGCAGGCCCTGGGGTGGATCTGTGTATGTGTCAAGTGAAAGGGTGTCGTCATGTGCACAGTCATTCTGTGAATGGTGGCATGTCAGCGCCCATGATTCGCGTTTGGCGAACAGGTGGGAGATTTGGCCCTCGACTACCCATGCCCTCCATGCCGCATCGGGAAGGCTTCTCGAAGGGCTGCGATCGCCGGTCAGTGCCCGCGAGAATAACGACACTGTTCATGCATAACCTCTTTTGCGCCGT